CCTCAGCCAGGATTTAAAACTAGGGTTTCCTGACTTTCCAGGGCGGGTATCTTAACCAGCTCAACTACCAAGGTATGTGATAATATTTATCGCAAGATAAAAAGATTATTGTCTAGAATACACCGCAATAAAATAAACGGATGCACTAACATATATGTAATATTTTCATTACAAGTTTCGTCGCTTAACAATGTAAACATCGATTTTTTTCAAGAGGTATTTTCACCCTTAAAATCGAAATCATTTCGTGATCCGGTCCATCTATTCTGAACTTATACAAGATTTAGATTTTTTTATTTAACACTTACCGGATTTCCCTTGTTAATAATATCAGATAGACGGGAAATTATAAAATCAATTAATCAAATTATTAATAATCGTAATTAGCGATTTTAAGATGTAAGGCAACGCAAGCAATTTTTACTTACCTTAGTTTCAAATTCCTGCACTTGGTTCAAATCTCTCGGATATCCATCTATGACGATGCCATCCGAATCTCGATTTAAAAGAATTTGTTGCTCTATAAGTTGCATTACAATATCGTGAGGGACCATTTCACCCGAAACAATCGCATCATTCACCACCATATTGGATGATGCCATCGTTCTCAATAATTCTCCAATACTTATGTGCTGCCAACCCGGCATATTATGAACGGCTTGGGTGCAAAGAGCCGACTTATTACTTCCTGGTCCACCTAATATATACGATATTATATTACAATAAAATATCATGCAATACATAAATAAGTTAATTCTCTTTCTTTATAATTTATAAACTGAAAATGTGATAGAGAAAAAGATGACACAATTTAATAGCTTTACTTTTTATAATTTAATGATCTCAAAATTTGCACTAGACTTTTGTGAAATGTAAATACAGAATATTGAAAATGTTTCAGATGAAATATCTCGTAGACAATGCATATTTGAAAAAAAAAAAAATGTTTTCACTTTTACCAAACAGTAAAACATTTATCAAACGTATAAAAATTCTCCAGATTTGTTTATTATTTTTTCAACAAAAAATTAAATACTTATAAAACGTAACATATATTGATATATTTAAAAAAACAACATTTAAATATATAAAAAAAACAACATTTGAAAAGTAGTTTGAAATCATTAAATACTGTCATTAAAGATTGACGAATTGCGGATTTCCGCATTTTCAATGTAAAGCTTACAAAAAATAAAACCTATATGTGAATATACTCTTGCGCGCGCACGTCAACACACACATTTTTAAGCATCTTTTTAAGTTATGACATCCACCATTTTGAATTTGTCAATTTTGACAAATTCCAAATGACATTGGATTAGTATTCAACGATTTAAAAAACACTTAAGTTGATATAAACAAAATTAGAAGCTATTTGATAAGTTGTCAATGATTTAATTATTTTAATTCACAGTTCTTTCGCAATAGACCTCACGTTTCACAATAAATAACTTGTTAACCATAACGGACACAAAATCCCTTTTAAGGGTTGAAAGTCCTAACAAAATACTTAATTTTAAACGCACGGATACTTTTCTAGCACGTCGCATTTCGATGTTACAATATATTTGACAAAATATGTGAAAATAGTTCGTTTTTGCAACTTTATCTGCAAGTTTTTCAAAATTGTGACGTGACAAAGCCAATCTACAAGCGGATTCAGATTCACCGTCCAAAAAACTACGGAAAATGACTAGTCTACTTATAGTGTTCGAAAAAAGTTATTTTTTAAATTGAATATAATGTTATATAATGTTATCAAACATCTCGTATGTAATGTATGTGTTTATATGAGTGCGCGCGCGTATATTAAAATAACATTATACCTATGACCCAAATAAATGCTGGCAATCCTTTTCTCGGTTTTTCAGCGGTTTTCGGTGCATCTATTGTTACTGGAACTGGTATCCTCTCTGTTCCTGCAACTTGCTTCGCCAATGGCGAACCCGACGATTCCTTTCTCCTTTCCACTTCGACCTAAAATATGATAAAAGGCGTAAGACCAGCGAAATATATATCATCGAATTTTGTTTCTATCAAAATTTTAATTTACACTTACCTCAGCTTCTAAAGATTGAGGTACATCTTGGACTTGAATTTCACCGCTTGACATTCCAAGAATTCTAAGGACGGCATCTCGAAAACTAACATAGACCTCACTCGGGTTGCGTTCCCCATTTATCTGTACAACAAATTTTTATTTCTATTTATAGTATCTAAACATAACTTACATGTATGTAACAAAAATATAATTCAAATACATATTATTTTATTATTCTCTTAGAATATTTCTAAAAGTTATCTAATTGTATCCTTTTCAAACTTTCTAGTGCATTAAAAAAAATTATTTGTACTTGTAATAATTTTCTCGTGTTTATCTAACGTATGCATTTGACGTCATTATTTACAATGTTAATTTGTGAACAGTTGTACCTGTTGATTTCCTAAAAACTCTTATTGAATCGCTAGTATATCGAAAATAAAAAATATATAAGTATTTCATATACGACAATATTTTAATAATTGAAATTAAAAAATAATAATAAATTAAAAGATGCATTGAGTTAATATAATATCAATTAAACTTTAATTTTGAATCATATCAAGGACTAAAAAAATTGAGACACTACTCTATCTTTAGAAATACAATTATAAACTATTACATTTTGTTTTTATGATTTCTAAAAAATCAGCCACATTATTCCCACTAATATTTTGTTAATAGGAGTAGTTTAATCAATTCTTATTCGGATTAATTGTAATGCTTCCATTGATAGGACATATTTGTATATGTGACTGATTTTTTAGAAATCATAAAAGCAATGTAATATTTTATACAAATATATCCTGTCAACAGAAACATTACAATTAATCCGAATAAGAATTGATTAAACTATTATTAATAAATTAATATTGATAGAAATAATGTGACAGATTTTTTAAAAATCATAAAAACATTATAGTAGAAATAAAAATAATTTTATTACAACAATCATAATTATTTTTTCATCAGATTTAATTAGAAATCATCAATCAGTATTCGAAATTAGTTTTCAACAATGCCTGAATCAATTGATATCTAATCATTATCTTAAATTATATATAATTTACGATATCTAATTAACAAAACTAAATAACAGTCAAAGCAAGCTATTCAATGTTACATAATTAAAGTTTACAATTAACAAACGTTTCGATCGTTATCCGGTCATTATCAATGTTATAAAATACCTAATCTAAGCGCTATTACATATATATAGGCAAGTCGCAACGGAATATAATATTTTTTTTTAGATAACGGTATTACTAACATAATTGTCCTCCGCGGTAAAATCGCTAGGAATTCACCCGCTGACATTCTCCATATAAGAAAAGCCTGCGTCACGGAGGACAATTATGTTAGTAATACTGTTATCTAAAAACATATTCCGTTGCGACCTGCCTATATAAATATATGTGATAGCGCTTAGAGTAGATATTATAATATTGATATTGATTTTATAATATAGACAACGGTCGAAACAGCTGTTTGTAATGAGACTTTATTTATTTAGCATTAAACCAGCTTGCTTTGGTTCATGGCCCTTATTTCGTTTCGTTAATTTCATATTATTAGAGCCAATTTTACCTTTTGACTTAATTAAGATATCTAGATAATTATTTTGTTATTTGCTATGCGTGATGGAAGATGTATAATTGTTGACAATTTCTTGATTATATATGCACTATCAATGAACAGTATTTAAACTCGATGGAGCGCATCAGTAGCGAGTTTACTTACCTCAAGTAACATTCCACTTTGATCAAAATATTCTGCAACTGGCATTACATTCCTGTAAAAATTATGTAACTCCATTCTAGCTAAACCGATGATAACATGACCAAGCTGCGCACCGAAATCAATTTGTCTTTCCAACACTTCTTGCCTCCATGATACGAGAATGACGCCGTTAACGATTTTTATCTACAAGCAATATTATATATATGCATTTATTTAAATTGTTTTCTTATCGCTTATCCGATCTAAGTATGTAAGTATATTGGGAAATGCAACCGTCCTATAAAATAAATTTTATCTATATGAAAAAGAAATGAACAAAGACACTCACTTTTTCAGCATATTCCACCACATCGCGCATATTTCGCGGATACCCGCTTACGAGAAAGACCTTGGCTCCCGGCGACATTTTCATTTCAAGCATAAGTACTTCGGTTACAGTTTTACTACTAAGTTGTCCAAAATCTTGCATATCTGTATAAAAATAGTTAAAATATATGAATACGTTGCAAAATTTAATACAAATTTTTTATTTATAAATGTCATTATTTTACCCGGGAATAATTTATATCTGGGGTGAGTTTTACATGATAACAGCGAGAAAATGAAGCTTGCAATCAGTTACAATAATTTTTTTCACTGATACAGAATCCATATCTATTTTTTATTTCTACCGTTTTTTAAAAATATTAAATAAATCTATATAATATATATAATAATTTCTCAAATACTAACAAATTGCAGAACCATTACCCTCTTTATATTTGATATTTTATTGCAATTTCGAGAATCCATTAAATTTTATTTAATTTAGTGACAATAACAATACTGCCTTTTAATTGGGATGTAAAAATCACTCTAGATAATCGTTTATGCAATATAAGAACTAAATGACTATTCCCAGGTTGAATCAAAAAGATTGAGGTGTGTGTGACAAAAATTTTGTTCATCCCCTTCCGCTCCGCTGCAGAAAACCTTTATAAATCGAAATAAAATCTACTTTAACTCGAATTATTCATCAAGCATTTAGATATCAGGAGACGCGGTAGCGTCTCTCGCCAAGTATATTTTTTCGTTACATGATATATTTTATATCTGTAACTCGAATTTAAAGTAGCCAGACCTTTACAAATCGAAGTTCACCTCTATAAGTCGAACTTCCATTCTCTATCTCTATAATTCGAAGTTGTAACTATGTGTAACCATGAGTAACAGCCTGGTATTTTGTCTTATAATTACATTTATGATATGTATGCAATAAATAATTCACTGTTAAATATTGATTTTTTTTCTCTAAAAGCTATTAAAATCGGAAAATTATGAACTCTCGTACAAACTACAAAGCCTCCGTAAGTTGAATTTTCATATGTTAACCCTCTTTTACACAAATTTTGATAAGTCGAAAACTCTATAACTCACAACAAACAGTTTTTCTGATCCCTTGAGATTCGATCAGTTATCGAGGTTCGACTGTATTTATCTACCTATAATTTTTATCAATAATTAAAACGATCTAAAAAGAGGGAGATTAAGTCTTTGTAAATAAGTTGGAATATAGTGAGTCAAGCAGCTCTGTGTTATTTAAAACTTATTTTTGTTGATGTATATATAGTTCATTACAAAATTGCTATTTATAGAAATGATTTGAATCTTGAGATATTTAATTTCTTTTAACAATTTTATATTAATTATTTATATTAATACTTTCACTGTATCTAAATTAGAATAGTATTCTCTTATCAGATATCTTTGCAATAATAATTAATAACATTAATCAGGTAATATGCCAGGTAATGTGCTATTATAATAAGAATAAACTATACTTGCATTACTGAAATGCACATATTATAACGAGAGCATTACTCTTCGAATCTATATTGATCAAATATATTTTATTCTTTTTTGTGATTATTATTAAAATATTATATTTCTGTTGTAAAAATACGATTAATATATTATAGATATTATATTTATCGATTGTAAGAATATTTAACGTCTGATTAATCGCTAAATTGCGGAAGAAAGATTAATAATCTTCAAAAATTATTTAAAAAAATAAATATTTCAAGATTCAAACCGTTTCTATAAATAAGTCAGTTTACAGAGACGCGCCACTCTTATTGATTTAAATTATCTGTCGATATTATGGGGATGTTTAATGTTAAATTAATCTCTAAATGGTTTAAGAAAAATTAATAATTAAGCTTCTTAAATTGTCAAAAAGAATTTATAATGAATATCTCAAGTGTGTAAGGTCTTGATTACTCATCGATTTGATGATAAAATATTAATCAATTCAATTTAATCGGAACACGTGTCTCAGCATGTCGGCTCAAATAGCGGTTATACATTAGTTATTTGAACAAATATAATTAATAATTGATTTTTGTCCTCTAAAAGCCATAATCGGAAAATTATAAACTCTCGTACAAAGCCTCCATAAGTCGAATTTTCATATGTTAACCCGCTTTTACTCAAATTTTGATAAGTTGAAAACTCTATAACTTGAACAGTTTTTTTGGTCCCTTGAGATTTGAATTATCGAGGTTCGACTGTATAATATGTATTCTTTGAAATCACATACTATAATTTATATTTCATTGATCAAATTTAGTTGCAACTTTCAATTCAATTTTATATTAACGATCCTTTTAATTGTCCCTTTATTGCTAACATTTTAATAATAAGCTGTCGGTCGCATAAAACGTGAAACATTTTATCTCAACGTATGCAATAAAAAAATTATTTTAATATATTTAACGAACCGTTTCATATCCTTATAGCTACGCGTAACCGGTAGCTTAATTGTTGTTAGGACACAAGTGGCAAGGGAAGGCTAGTGAACATCAACATATCAGGTCGAAAGTTGTACGAGTAACTAAATCCGACCACTGGTTTACCAGCCAGTTCCTGACCATATTATTAAATGGATCATCTCTCACTTTTTTTACTTTTTTTTATCTTTCAAGAATATTATACTTATGTATATATTATGATCAATCTATCATTGTTGTAATAAATTGAAATGTGTATAGAAAATGGTATGTAAAATAAAATTAGAATAAAATTAGAAAACTCTCGAAATTGTCAAATAATAAAACAGAAATAAGGCTAATGGCAGCTAGCGCGGTAAGTAAAGCGCAAAACAATTTAGTAGTGTTAAAAATTTTTTAATTCAATACTTGTTGATCCATGGTAAGTATATAAAATGTATATAAAAGATTTATAAAATGCATAAAATGATATAAATCCTATAAAAAATGTAAAGAAAGTAATAAAGTTTGATAAAGAAGTGATCAAAGAGTGTGATTGCCACAAAAAATCGGTTTATTGAAAAAATAATTCATGTTTAAAATTGCCATTCACAACAATAAACATTAATAGCATATCATGAAGAATTATAAGATTTTAATAAGCTTAACAAAATATTAAAAAAAACACGTATATCTTTTTACTTTACAAAAATAATTTTGATGAATATTTATATCAAAACTGTGTTCTTATTAATTGAGAACTGAAGACAAAAGAGAAACTCCTACTTTTATATATAAGATATGTACAAATAAAAGCAATTGTCATTAGCGACCACTCAAGATAAATTTATTTAAATTATAAATATAATATAAATATTTAAAAATTCAAGAGATGTGTCTAATAATATGACTGTATATCATATATAGGAATATGTCACACATTAAAATTTTATATATTATTTTACATGTACAAGGAAGAGATAAAATAATGTGAATATCTGGTGAGAGAAATAAACTACTTGTTTTATTAATAAAAGTGCTGGCCATGTCTTTACTGTCTTTAGTATAGATTTACCCGTGTTAGTATAGACTTACACAATGCTTAAATAGTCACCAGTGTAACTAATTATATCATTCTTCTAGCAGAACATCTTCCAATTGTTTAAAAGATACTGAAAAAGGAAATCTGCTACTCTGTTCTTCAAAACTGCTCAATAATGACTCAATAAATATTTAAATCAGATGATTGCGTTGACCAGGAAAGATATTGAAGTTTTGAAGAACAGAAGGCATTTTGACAAAGAATAAAAAGCTACATATTAAAGTAAAGGCCTGTGGAAGCCAACACGAATGTTAGTGTGTATTAATTTTTAGTATCTAACCACATGCAAACTGTGCGCCGCATATTCGTCATTTAAATTATAATAAAAAGCTATCTTTCGTCTCCAACATCACTTATAAAAGCAAAGAAAGATGTTCTGCTAAATAAATGGTACATTTCATTAGTAATTATTCAAGCATTGTATAACAGTATATTCTAACAAAGAATGAATTCCAACATCGAATCTGTATTACAAACAAATAACGGTTAGCCTTTTATTAATAAAATAACTAGTAAACGGGAAAGGATTAAAATGAATTAAAATTTTTCAATTTATGATTATTGAAATAGATTGGCCTCCGTGGAAATAAATGCGTTTTTATTTTTTCATAATATGAATATAATATAATATAATATTTGTTAAAAATGAATGCGTTTCTATTTTTTCATAATATACGAATATAATATAATATTTGTTAGATTTAGATGGATTGCAACATTGCATTTCCTAGTCACAATTTTTAATTGAATAACATTCATGATCCATTTTCACGAAAAAATTTTTTTATAATTAATTTAGATTGAAAAACTGCATTTTCTATCTAGAATTTTGAATTGACGGTATTTACGATTTACTTTTTAAAGCTGAATTTTTTTGGATTAAATGACATAGAAAATGTACTTCATTCAATTTCTATAAATGAATACAAAAGCATTAAGCATTGAAATGGATTCAGAAGTGCGCATTCGCGAACGTTCAAATGAATTTTTTTCAATCCATTTCAATCCATTCTCGTTTATTGGGAAGTATCTCGATTCTAGGGGTTCACATTATTTCGTTTCTTTGTTTATTTATAAAATAAGAAGTAAATACGAACCATTTCCCAACGCATATTGTTGAAGAAGATCCATCATGTTGATATGCGTTATTCCTTTCTTTTCTTGTATTAAATTGTCACAATATGTCACCTTACCACTACCGGGGCCTCCTACAAAATAATCACAGAACATATTAAAAATTATTTTTAACTAAATGATAATTTAATCATCTTAAATTTTCAACGCTTAATTAATACTAACCAAGTACGAATATAACGGGAATTTTTGGTATTTCGAATTTAACGGGACCAACATTTTGTTTTGGAAAATGTCCATCTGGTGGAGTCGCCAAAAGACCAGCCTCGCCTCGCCATCTTCCTGTAGCTCGAGCATCGTTTTCCTCGAACATCTGCGATCCATTTTGCTGATCTGAAATGCATTTATTATTTTGTAATATATCACATCTATGCTATGTATGCATTAAAAATATTCGCGAGTACATTCTGTCGCCACAAGATGGACATGAACGAATTCAATTCTCGTATTTAAGAATCACTATGGAATAGTATAAAAAATGCAGCATCATGAGATTTTTACCATTTCTTAAAGTGCGATCAAATATAAGAATAACCGAGAGATGTATTTTGACAGTAGCACTTTGACAGTA